AGTTGAGCTCCACCATGACTAAGTCTAATGTACTAAAACAAGTGAAGTCGTTTAACAGTCGAAGCGCTGATAAACTACAGGCGAAACATCTTGGAATAAAGAGTAAATTGGAAGTACCAGTGTTCGTATCCGAACAATTAACACCTAAAAATGCCCGTCTATTTTTCTTGGCTCGAGACCTAGTTAAAGCTAAGAAGTACAAGTTCTGTTGGACCTCATATGGTCGGATCCTGGTCAGAAAGGACGAAAACACTCGTGCGATCGTTATTAGAAGTGAGGCTCAGGTCCACAACATGATGCAAAAGACATGACTTAAAAGCACTGGATTCGGTTTTATTCTAATATTGGAATCTATGTACCCTTTAATAAGTATTTTTATTGATTTTATATATAAGTTCTATAATTGTTTAAAGTTTCAAAATTATACATCTGTAATCGATTTTGCTTCGACCTAACACATCCAGGTACCACTTTATACCTAACCGGTTCCATTCAAAATGCACCTAACACACAACTAACTAACACAAGCACACACACACTCACCCAACCTAATGCCAATAATTTAATTCACAAAATATCTCAAACATAATGCGGTTGACGTCACACAGCTGCCGTGCATACCTTAAGACTAACGAATGAAATATTGAGAATGGATAATAATTTACATAACTTACAAGAAGTGGATTTTGCTGAAATTGCTAATTCAGCAGTACTTAGTGATGCAGATTGCTCGTATACACTTACCTTACACGCCAAAACCTATTTGGTACTTGTTTACCATATAACGAGACTGAGAATTTAGAAATACTCCTTTTCATAATAAAATTCGATTTCCCTCATAATATAAAATTCGATCAACTTAAATCAAATTATTAATGTCTCTGTATCCAAGTCCGTCACATGTGACGTTGAAGAATGTCACTCGCACATAACCCAAGCGTCCTCCGACGGTCTTTTAGTAATCACACAAAACATACGCAGTATTAACTGTAATTTTGCGGGTTTTGAGGTGCTTCTACAAAGACTAAACATAGATTGTGACATATTAGTTCTAACAGAATGTTGGCTCCTAGGAGTTTCTGTAATCCCACAACTGGATGGTTATCGATCTTATAGCACTAAAACCCATCATAAACAGAATGATGGAATAGTGGTATACATCAAGAGCACGCTAACGGCGAATGTTCAGGAACCTGAATTTATGGATGGAAACTGTCTTATGACAACAATCGACAGACACACAGCAATTGTTTCTATATACCGATCTCCTTCTATAAAAAATATTGACAACTTCATAAATTCATTAGATAACGTACTATCAAAATTAAATTCGTTCAACAACTTAATATTAATAGGAGATATGAATATACCCATTAACTGCACTAAACTGGATACTTCAGGTGAGAAATACTTGACCACCGCTGCATCGCATGGACTTTTACCAGCGCATTCTGAAATAACCCGTCCTTCTAGCTCCACCTGCCTGGATCACGTATTGCTTAAGACCCGTTCTACCGCAATTACTCTTGTGCCACAGTCATCTTTAACGTATCACTTTCCTGTACTGATTCAATTAAAAAGGCAACCTAAAACTAATTACCATATACGAAAATATAACCAAATCACATTAACTAGAGTGGACAATAAAAACTTATACGAAGAAATTAACAACATAGACATGTACCCCATATACGAATCAAAAAACCCCAATTTCTCTACAGATTACCTAATTACTAATATTCAACGAGCTGTAAATAAAAACACCAAATCCTATTCTGTCTCAAAGCGCAAGAAAATAATTAAGCCTTGGATGACGCCAGGCCTCCTCAGATGCACCAGAAACAGGGACCTCTTACACAAAAAATGCCGTACAACCCCAGACAATATTATCCTTAAAACTACTTACCTCAGATACCGTAACTTCTGTACCAAAATTCTAAAGAAGGTTAAAATTGCATATGAAGAAGGTGAATTAGTCAAGGCAGGGAATAACATTAAACAGATCTGGACAACTATTAAATCAATTACCAACACAGTTAAACAAAAAACAAATCCAGAGGAACTATTGAATCTTAGAAACTCCACAGAGGATGCCCTAGATGCTATAAATGAACACTTTGTTAATGTTGGCAAATCTTTGGCCGATAAAAGTGCGCAAAACCTCCACTCTTGCGCGTCAACAAATAGATCTTTTGCCCAGGACCAACGTTTGCAATCCTTTGTTTGCGACGGAACCACTGAAATTGAAGTGACCCACACAATTGCGTCTTTAAAATCTAATAGTACTACAGGCTGCGATAATATCTCATCCGACCTATTGAAAAGACACAAAAAGATATTAGCTCCTCCCATTGCGCACATTTTCAATCAATGCTTAGAATATGGTGTTTTCCCGAAGAGTTTGAAATTATCGGTGTTAGCCCCATTCACAAGGGAGGTGACCGGGATCGTGCTGATAATTACCGACCAATATCCATCCTGCCCTCCCTGTCCAAGGTTTTCGAGAATCTTTTAAACAAGAGATTTACGCGTTACCTTGAGAGCAGGAGGCTGCTCTCTGACGCCCAGTTTGGTTTTCGTAGAAATAGAAGTACTGATGACGCTATCCATAAATTGACTGATTGCCTGGCTACTAACATGGATTCTGGAAAAAAGTGTCTGGCCATCTTTCTGGATCTGGCTAAGGCTTTTGACTCAATCGCGATACCCATCCTTCTACAAAAACTCGAGAGATTCGGTGTAAGAGGGACACAGTTAAAACTCTTTCAGAGTTATCTATCGGAGCGCTTCCAGTGCGTCAAAATAGGGAATCGCACTAGCTCGTACCTACCTGTTACATTTGGGGTGCCACAGGGTAGTATCCTAGGCCCTACTCTCTTTCTCGTTTATATAAACGATCTTACCAACCTATCCATACACCACGGCCAAATAGTCTCCTACGCGGATGACACTGCCCTCATATTTAATGCCGAAACTTGGGATGAGGTATTCAAGGATGCCCAAGCTGGGCTTAACCTGGTGAAGCACTGGCTGAATGTTAACTTACTTACACTGAACAGTGATAAGACCAAGTATTTGACGTTTTTTATGCGTGGTCCACCTAAAGCGCATATCACAAATCAATGTCTCATCCCACACAACTGTTCTGGCCTAGATGGATGTAACTGTGTACCATTAGAGTGTGTAACGCATGTTAAGTATTTGGGCCTTATCATAGATCACAATCTGGCATACAAAGAACATATAAAGGCCTTATCAGGTCGTGTGAGAAAACTTTTGTATGTTTTTAAGACATTAAGGCAAGTCGCCGGTGGCCAGATAATAAAACAGGTTTACTCTTCCCTGTGCCAATCTATTATTAACTATGGTATTATTGCCTGGGGTGGAGCTGCCAAAACCACACTGAAAAGTCTTGAGACTGCGCAACGTGCAGTTCTAAAGGTTAGTACGTTTCGAACAATGCGATCTCCAACGAATCTTTTATACAAGTCCTGCGAGGTGCTAACAGTGAGACAACTGTTTATACTTAATATTGTCATGCGGAAGCATGGTGAACTTACCTATGATTCCAAACTAAAAAATAAACGCAGGAAATATGACATAGCAATCCGCGCTCATCACACTAAAACAGCTTTCATTAGAAAATTTTACGTTTTTCTGGCACCTCTTGTGTATAATAAAATTAACACAGCCATAAACATTTTCAGTCTAAATAAATTTCACTGTAAAAGAGCGGTGAAGGCATTTTTACTGACTTTATCCTACGATGATACTGAAAAACTCATCCAAGTAATGATATAAATCTACTGTATATCGTTGCAGCTGCAGGATGATTGCACCTTCTCATATTAATTAATACCAGGAAGTATCAAGCATACACCACAACACACATACACACACACACATACACACACACCCACACACGCACACACACCCACGCACACACACACACACGCACACACACAAAATAGACAAATTCCTATATATTGGTGATAGTTATACCTTACTTTTCCTTCTCTTTCTTTTTAATGCGGTATGTAATTTTGTTTTTAACTGGTCTTTGTGATACTCTTAAACGTTTGTTATTGTAATTGCTTTTTTTGGTTATTTATTAAGGCGGGAAATGGGCGCCACGTGCCGAGATACAGGCTTACGCCTAGTTCGGTCGCGGATGCTCGTTCTGTCAGTTGTAGAATAACTGTTATAAGTATAAGTCATAATGTGAAACAGTAAACTGTAACCACCTTTCTGAATAAATATTATTATTATGTATGTCTTTACCATTCACGGGACCACAGGGTCCCGGTCATTTGGGAGGCGTACGAGGGGCCGAAGCCAACTGTGCAGAGGCCCTTTAGACAACTTTAATATAAATGTAATGGACACACAAACCGGCCACTATCCCTGTATGCACTATGGAAATGCACCCAAGGACAGTCCCGGTTAGTGTAACTTTGAATAATGGAAAAAAAAGTAGGACTATGGATGGGTTGCTGTGGACTGGAAAATTGGGAACTATGGATGACTATGGCACCTGCCGAAACAATGTAATTTTACACGTAAAAATGGCAGGCGGAGACTCGCCAACTCACCGACCGGGCCCCGGAATGGTTGCTAGATATAGCAACAGAGGGGCAACGAGAATGTGAGTGGCTGAAGGGTTAAGAAACTACCACCGCTTTCTACTCAGATCATCTGCTCCAGCCGAAGCCTCCTGCATCCCTGGCCCACTCGCGACTTACGAATAGTTTCTTACCCTCCGAGCAGGATCACTGCTCTCGCGACTCCACTCTGGACGGCCAATGAAGGCAAGCCAGAGGTGGGAGACCTGTTCCTTATCATCTTTCACTCCAGCCAGCCAATTAAGGCAAGCCGGAGAAGAAGGAACGGTGACTTCTCCCTGGAGCACTCGGGATGATGGTAGCCCGCGGGATCGCTAATGCCCGTCACCTCGCCTCAAGGTGCCCTGCGGGCTTATTATTATTATTATTATGTTTCAGATACCTAAAGCTCCGCCCTGGCGAGAAGATATTTGATAGGATCGAACCCATAGAAGACACGAAAGGCAACAGCGGTACCAAGGGACGTATGGTAGTTACCAACCTGAGGATTATCTGGCATTCATTGGGGTCACCTAGGATCAATTTGTGTTAGTATTAGTAGCGTACCTACTTTATTCTAGCTAGGCATAAACATATTAAGTACTAACGGTTTGTTGTAGGGTAATAGGCATTGATTAGTTAAGCAAATGTAATTTATAATAAGTATATAGATAGATAATTTTAAGTGTTTGAGAGCCATGCTTCGGCTCGAATGGGCCGGCTCAACCGGAGCGATACCACGGCCTCACACAAAACGAACGTGACTTGAAGCAACGCTTGCGTTGTGTTTCGTCGTGTGAGTGAAGTTACCGGAGGCCTAATTACACCCCCCCACACCCTTCCTAATTTCCGCAATCCCTGAATCCCCAACAATCCTCAAACTCCTAATCCCCAAAAGGCCGGTAAGGCACTTGTAACGCCTCTGGTGTTCCAGGTGTCCATGGACGACGCCGATTGCTTACCATCAGGTGATCCGTCAGTTCGTTTACCGGCTTATCCGATAAAACACACATACAGCAGGTTTTTAGTTTAAGGGCAAGTTTAACCTGTAAACGGTTTAGCTTATTCATTGTAGTATTTACTGAATTTTGTTTTGTATAATGGGGCTGACGTTTTTCTCTTAGAAACAAAACTCTACTTATAAAATAAAGATTAAAAAAATACTATGCGCAATAGTGCAAAGCAAGTGAAGTCAAAGTCACATTTTTATCATTGCAGCTATAGGCCTGAACTGCATTCTAACTACAAACACGAAGGTCGTGAACTCCGGGCTCCGTGGCACAACCCAGGCTCTTAACGTATTGGCAGCTTACAAAGCCAACAAATATGAATTCATCTTCACCAATTTATCTCCAAACTGTGTTCGACATTATACGTCAGTAGCTGGAGTGCATAAGTAAGTTCAAAAATATTCTTCTCCTGTCGCCCCTTTTTTGTGAAATAGGGTGCCACACGAACAGACGGATCACCTGATGGTAAGCAATTAGCTCTGCTCTCTAGAACACAAATGATAAAAAAGAATGAAAGCGGTGTTTGACATAGGTTTTCTGCGAAACCTTAAAATAATTCAGGTAAGCAGGATAGGCCTGCCCCACCAGATTGAAGCTGCTTTACTGATTCAAAATTGAAGTTTCCTGGCAACTGGCTGCCGCGCAATGGGACGCGAGTTTAATTCCCGCACGGAATAACTCTTTGTGTGATCCACAGATTGTTGTTCCTGGTCTGGGTGCCATGTGTATGTGAACTTGTATGTTTGTAAACGCACTTACGACACGAGAAAATCCTAGTGTGGATAAAAAAATGGGATGCTATATAATCTTCCTATCAGATACTCATTGCATTATATTCTCTTTTCTTTCACTTCTAACACAATTCGACTACTATTGCGTACCTACTATCTATTTTTTTTTTCAGAGCGTATACAGGCTCCAGATTGTATCGTGACCTTAAGCTGAGAGCTGCTATAATACACAACAAGCAGTTACGGATGTTACCGCTAGAAAAAGTAAGATGTCCAGGGTGCTTACTCTCGAAACCAATCTCAATATCAATGGAATTTCAATCCAATAAAATCTCAATAATTATTTCCTGTCAAAACTATACAACGCCTATCGTAGCTGTTAAAATAGAATTCAGAACACGGAATATGAAGCACGCAATACGGATGCAATGGGCACTAATATTGCAACTTAAGAGTACGAAATTTCACAATACTAATGTCGATTGATCGGAATTCGATTCAAGAGTAAGCTCCCAGGTTTAATTTACCACTCTTCTGTGGTCAGACTTACAGAGTAGAACTTATTCAAAGTTAAATTTAAATTACTGTTTGTAGTATTGCAACCGTCAAGAGCAGTGCATTACTTATCGGCGACCATTGCATTTTTATGCGAAGTCATTACGCAAATTGTTAAAGAAAAAGTCTAAGAACTAATTAATCAGAAATAATCAAAGATGCCTATTCTCCCATTTTCCAGATAGCATTACTGGAGCATAGTATCTGGAACCTATCGAGTGACTCAGGCAACCTGGGTACCCTGATAGTGACTAACGTCAGGGTGGTCTGGTTTGCAGACATCAACGACGCCTTCAACGTATCTATGCCCTACATTACGATTGAAAGCGTGAGTAACTCGAATAGATCTTTGTTTAAAACTCAAACGATACCGATACGACCTTCAAACCTTCAAGAAAAGGGCGTAATCCTTTTTAAAAGGCCGGCAACGCACCTGTGACTCCTCTGGTGTTGCGGGTGTCCGTGGGCGGCGCTGATCGCTTACCATCAGGTGATCAGTCTGCTCGTTTGCCTCCTACTCAATAAAAAAAAACATTTATAAACCTGTGATAAAACTCTATCATTCACATTTTCAGGTCAATGTAAAAGACTCAAAGTTTGGAGAAGCACTTGTGTTTCAAGTTCGAAAATCGTCTGGAGGCTACATATTGGGTTTTAGAGCTGATCCTCGTGAAAGATTGAGGCCTCTACTCACAGAACTACAAGCTCTGCACCAAGCTTACACGGAGAAACCCATATTTGGTGTCGAACTCAATTGGAATAATGAGGTATGTATGTGTGCTTAAAAGTTAATTACTACACCTACCTAGTTTTGTTTTTATGCTTCCATGTACCTGACTGTTTGCTCATAATTACTACATTAAATCTTTGCAGAATACAAGGCCCTCAGACGCTGATATAGAAGAGTTGGAAGAAATCGGAGAGCCCCGTGGTGAAATGGGACCTAATTTGTACTTAGCATCGCAACTTGCCCAGAATAAAGAAGAATTTGAAAGCCCACCAGTTTATAGTTCATATTTAGGACTAGCTATAGAACCACTGAGAGAAGGATTTACTTTAAAAAGTCTTTTTGAAGTGCAAACTGCATCGTAGTCAAATAAAATAATAGCATGCACTTATTTTAATTACAAGTTTATGTTGTAAATCCTTATAAATTGTTATTTATTAATAAAAACAAAACATATTTGTAGTTTTACTTCCTTATCGTACTTGTACATGTTTTATTAAAAATTATATTATCACATAGTAACTTAAAGGACACGTACTTAAAACTTAATAGAAACATAGATGTAGGTAACAAAAGAACTTGAATCTAATGACGTTTATGACAGCTACATTTGACACATTTTGAATTTGACATTTTCAATTTTAGAAATAAACTTGTTGCGACTTGACTTTTACTACTGTTTTGTACGTAAAAAATATTTTTATGGATAATCATTTACACTCAGTTTTTTTTTAAACCTACATGTTTATCGAGTAAAAATACATAAATCAAGACGTTTTTATAAGTGACAGTAATTGATTTTTCTTCAATTCGGCTATGAAAAGTGTTTTTGACTGATTGTTTATTTTCACAACAAATATTTATAAAACAAAAATGAACAAAGAAAATAATAGAGGTGCAGCTGGCCTGGTAAGTACTCCTTTATCTTCAAATAGTTTTTATTCTGAAGGCGCCAAAATAAAAGTCACAATTCGTGTCACTCTCACTACTAATTAATCAAAAAATACCATATTTTATGCTACGAAATGGTAAATTCTTACTGGAAATGTGAAATATGTGTATGTAAAGAAGTAATATCCGGTCGACAACTATAATGAAAACAATTAACAAATCAATGAATATAGTGACATATTCGTTAATGTATAATTTTCTATTCCAGCGACGCTCTGCAGTGGCCGAAAGAATCAGGCTCAGAGAAGAGTGGTCAGCATTGAAAGAAGTAGACACTGCAACTACTTCAAGACAGGCTGACAGTGCTTTACAGAAGAAGCCAAGTAATACGCGTCACACACCTGGTGTCTCCAGCAGAAAGAAACAACCGGTTAAATCTAGTCAGAAAAAGGTAAGACTTAAAATTGGTACTGAAATTATACAACCTGTTTAATTTATTGCAAGGTTTGCATAATTTATTTCTTTAGTCCTTAAGTTTAGTTTAACTGTATCACTTTCAATGTGAAGATTTACCCCTAAAGAGGTCTGGCGACGGCGACCTCTCGCGTCCGGCTCTAGTTCAGACCATAGTACGGAGCGAAGGGGACTGGGATGCCGTCTCCTCCTTCTGCAAAACAGTCATGCTAGCTAAGGAGGAGGCGGAGCACGTGAGGGAACGAACCTCCCCACGCCCCGGATGTCGTGAGAGACACTCCGGGCCTCGGGGATCGCGAGACGATCTCAAGGAGCCTTCTGACCACCACAGATGGAGCCCACCAGGGCTGATTTTTGCCCGACCTGGGAATTAAACCCCTTGCCTGGCAGTCGCACTTGCAACCACTCCGCCAACAAGCAATCTTTACAATAATAATATTAACATTATTTTTACCTATTTACAGGGAAATCCAAGATCACTGCAGGCATCATGTGATGCCCTGCAGGGTGTGGTTGCCATGGTGGATGTAGGAGCCGAGAGTAAGGCGCTGCCACTGCGCTGCGCACTGGCGGCCCTCGGAGCTACCGTCGTGGTGGAATGGAACCCTCTTGTTACACATTTAGTCTGGACTGACAGTGAGTAAAATTTGTGATATAGGTCGCAAGTGCAACTGCCGAGCAAAGGGTCTCAGGTTCGTTCCCTGGGTATTACTCGGTTATAAAAAAAATCTCAGTGGTAGCACGGGGTCTGAAATTGCACCCAGTATATGGCAATAGGCTCACCCCCTATTATATGGGATTCATAACTTAAATAGTGAAAAGCGGGTGTTACATTGTACAGTGGCACTAATTGCCGCAATGTGCACCTGGCTAACCCTTCGCAGTAAAAGGTGTGATGTTCAGACCCCGTCATCATCCCTATTGTATGTGATTGTGTCGCATAGGGTGGCAATGTGTATTTGTTACTGTTTTACTCTAAAAGTACTGGACAGATCTGAATAAAAGACACATAAAAAGATTATTACCTACCTAGAATATGCATGTGCACAAAAGCCTTCCCCTCTATGAAATAGAAGATGTGATTGATATTATATTATAACTAGCGGACCCGACAGACGTTGTCCTGCATATCCACTTGAATGTATAAACAAAAATTCATTCAAATCAGTTCAGCCGTTTAGGATAAATAACCTAGACCCCGACTGCAGCGCCATCTGCCGGGCTGATTTGTGAATCTGAACCATTCCCAAATCTCCTTGAACACACACAAAAAATTTCATCAAAATCGGTCCAGTCGTTTGAGAGAAGTTCAGTGACATACACACTTCCAGAAGAATTATATATATAAAGATGTTGTATCTATTTCCAGGCGGTTGTCGCGCCACCCGCGCCAAGGCCCGCGCGCTGGCCTGCAAGTTGGTGTCCCCGCTGTGGGTGGAGGCCTGCGCCGCCTCCAACAAGAAGCTCAATGAGAGAACGTTCCCGGCTGCGTCACGACAGTCTGATCTACCATCCCCGAGGACTTTGAGACAACTGCTGGTAAGTTATCATTAGACATCGGATTATATGCACTATTAAAATACCAAAATATGCATGCAATGCAAATATGCACTAAAAACGGGTGAAATATGCACAAAATATGCACAATAAAGAAACATTTAATGCTTTCAAATCCGGGGTTTTTACACATTAAGTTTGCCACGAACCTTTGGCGATATTGAAATCGGCAGATCGTTATTCTGTGCAATATTTTTTTTTCTACTTTTTCTAAGGACCGCCACAGAGGAGAGTTTTTAGATTCTAGTTTTTCAATTGCAGCCGGTATAATATAATAGCAATATTTTTTTTTACTAAAGGGTCTTGGAATGCTATTACATTTGAATTGATTGCCATGGCGTCTGAACTGTAAAATTTTCCGACAACTTCTTTTATATCTTCGAAATTTTCAGCATAATATAAAACGGCTTTCAACCAAGTACCCCACCGTGTTAATATGGGAACTGGAGGTAGGGGTACATTTAGTGATATCTCTCTGAACGTTTGTACTCGCGATCGTGCTTTTAAAATTACTTTTTTTGTAGAAGAAATCAATTTATTGACTATCCCGAACTCGTCTCTAACCTCTTCCGCAATTCGATGTAATCCGTGGGCTAGACAAGTGATGTGAAGCAAGCTTGGATTCAGTGCGCTGTGTGCGAGGCGGACGTGTTCATGGGTGTGTCGATGGACGCGTCGACTACATAATAAAATATGCTAAACACGTATTAACTATTGAAATAAGCACTATCAATGAAAAAGTACGAAAATATCCAATAACGCAAAAAAAATAGCATTAAATGCATTTGCATATGCAAAGATGTTATGTCATTGAATTAGCTGGGAAATTGGATGTTGTTCAGCTGATACTGATTAATAACTTTCAAATTGAGGTTTATCCCAACGCTTGATAAACGACCCGGGGACTCCAGATATGATCTCAGAAAGTTTATTTAGACCAACCAATCAACAAGATAATTTTATTTATTCGCTTATTACAGAAAAAAGCAGAAATGGAGAATGTGACTCTCGCAGCGTTACTGAACGACAGCAAGGAGGAGGATAAAGATGGCCGTCCTCGCCTGAGGATATCATCTGGCACTGACACTACTATGGATAGCTCCAGGGAAACTATCGGTTTGTTTATATTATACACTAGCGATCCGCCCCGGCTTCGCATAGGTGCAATATGCATGTATTATACATAAACCTTCCTTAGGAATCAATCTATCTATTAAAAAAACCACATAAAAATCCCTTGCGTAGTTTTAAAGATGTAAGCATACAGACGGCGGATAGCGACTTTGTTTTACACTATGTAGTGATAGATATGTAGGAAAGCTATGCTTCAGCCTCACAGTACCAGCGTGTTACAACGCTTGCGTTGTTTTCCCTTGTCATTTTTTTTATGGGATAAGCCGGTATACGATCAGTCGGATCACCTGATGGTAAGCAATCCATAGACACATGGAACACCAGAGGCGTTACCCTCCCACACTTAAATTAATTGATTGAGGTTACCAGAAACGTAATTCCCATTCCTCTGCTGTAAAAGGTCGATTACGCACTTGAAACTCCTTTAGTATTGCAATTTTTCTTGGACGGCGCCTATTGCTTACCATCAGGTGATTCGTCTGCTCGTTTGCCTCACTATCGTACAACAAATGAACTTTATTCCTATTTCATTAATTTCCCCCTCAGACCTAGAGTCCCGAGTAAACACGGCACCCCGTCGTGGCGCAGTGTCGCCCCCTACCCGAGCGCCCCCCAAGTCCCGGCGGAAACTGTTCACACATAAAGAGGCTGAGGAGATTGGCAGTACTGATGATGAAGCAGGTAAATTGGGTACTTGCCGACAAGTCAAATTCAATATTTTTTTCGAACTGTCAAAAACGACAGTTTTCTATGAATTTTGTACGATATCGTGTATTGTGACGTCACGTATTTTTTAGAGACAAACAGCATACTCATTTCTTAAAAATATGCTGGTATAATACTAAAATTAAGTTGGTCATAAAATCGATTGATGAAAGTGTAATTTTTATTATTTTGTTGTTGTTATTTTTTAATATTTTGTTGTATTGATAAAGTCAAAATAAATTATTTTTAGTACCTACTCTTTGTTAATAAAATATTTAGGAATTTATATGAGCTAAGCTGTTAGTGCTGCAAACGATGAAGGAAAATATGTATAATGTGATGATACCTGGGCTTACAGTTTCTAATCTACTATATAAAAATAAGTCGGGTTTTCCTTCCTGACGCTATAACTCCAGAACGCACGAACCGATTTCCACGGTTTTGCATTCGTTGGAAAGGTCTCGGGTTCCGTAAGGTTTATAGCAAAGAAAATTCACTAATCACCAAACGAAATGTTACATAAAACGAAGCCATCTGGTGGCGAAACGGAGTTCGCCGGATTTGCTAGTTATTATTATAAGTTTGAATATGCCACTTGCATTGAGCAAGAGTGGAAATCAGATAGGTACCACAGGTCCTGGAAATATTCTAATTAACTTCCAACTTGAACACTTAATTTTAAACCTTAAACAAAATATATTACAGAAACACCGTCAAAGACCAAGTTGAACCAAAGCAAGCTGACCCAGCGCGAGCGCCGCGACCTCGCGCGAGCTGAGCGGATGGCGAGGAAGTTACTCGCCGCCTGCGACACGAGGCACAGACCGGGTACTGCGCCACAGACTGGGCTGCAGCCTAAGATTGTGAGTACATACACTTGTATTGTTACTTACATATAGTTACTAGCGGACCCGACAGACGTTGTCCTGCATATCCACTTGAATGTATAAACAAAAAATCATTCAAATTAGTTCAGCCGTTTAGGATAAATAACCTAGATACTGCAGCGCCATCTGCCGGGTTGATTTGTGAATCTAAACCATTCCCAGATCCCCTTGAACACACACAAAAAATTTCATCAAAATCGGTCCAGTCGTTTGAGAGAGGTTCAGTGACATACACACTCACAGAAGAATTATATATATTAAGATGAACTTACTTATAAAAATTATAAAAACCCCACTATGTTTATTTTTCCAACCAGATAGAACCAGAAATGTTCAATTATTAATTTTATAATCAAAAATACCTACATACTCTATTCTTTAATTTGACTCACTTGTCGTATCAATAACATAACATTTTAACTTTAAGTGTGGGAAAGCCATGCTTCGGCACGAATGGGCCGGCTCGACCGGAGTGATACCACGGCCGAGCAGAAAACCGACGTGAAACAACGATTTCATTGTATTTCGTCGTATGAGTGAGGTTACTGAAGACCTAATTACCCCTCTTCCCCAATCCCTGAATCCCCAACAATCCTCAAATTCGTAGAATCCCCAAAAGTCCGGTAACACACCTGTAACGCCCCTGGTGTTCCAGGTGTCTATGGGCGGCGCCGATGGCTTACCATCAGATGATAAGAATGCTCATTTACCGGATTATCCCTTAAAAAAATCTTTTCTTACATTGCCCTGAGCTTTTTGATTTTAAAGAAGAAATCATCCATTCTGTTATGTTTGATCCCCGAAGAGCATGCAGAGTATCACTTAAATGTAAGACCCACTATGTTATGATTATGAATCTTATACAAAACATAAAATCACGCCTTTTATCCCCGAAGGGGTAGGCAAAGGTGCACATTATACCACTGTACAATGTAACATCCACTTTTCACTATTTTTATGTTATGAGTCCCATGTAATAGGGGGTGAGCCTATTGCCATATACCGGGCACAATTCCAGACTCCGTGCTACTACTGAGAATTTTGAACAAAACCCAGTAATACTTTGCCCGACCCGGGAATCGAACCCGAGACCCCTTGCCCGGCAGTCGCACTTGCAACCACTCGGCCACCGAGGCAGTCTTATAATATATCGATCTTATAATATATCCTAAATTCCAGGTACTAACAGGCATGACTCGGCCCGAGCGTCACGCCGTAACTAAGGCGGTGCAACAGCTCGGCGGCGTCATACAGAGTCACGTCAACAAGCGCACGAGCCACGTGTTGCTCGGCTCGTGCGGCGTGCCACGTTGCAGCAACCATCCCGCGAACATCTCCGGTGTTACAGGTTGGTTCTAATCATGTGAAAGCGTCGCGGAGAACCTAACGGGTAACCGGGGCTCCGGCTCGACGTGCAGGAGAAGGAACGGGGTGGTTTTTAGTCAATAAGAGTCTGACACTCCCTCCCGCCTCGCTCAAGCGGGAGCAGATTCATTCATTCGATGATTTTCCCCCTTAAAAAAAAAATCATGTGAAAGCACTCCGGTGCTGTATTGTGATATACTTTTGTTACCATCCCTATCTATTTATTAATACGATCTCCGGCCACCGTAAGCGCCGGCTTGCGGACGGCGAGCATGGGTGGCTCCCCGTCCGACCAGAAACAGACCCGAGCGTTCCGCGCGCGACACAAAGAGCCATCAGACGACCACGGATTTGTACGGAGTTGTATTTCGACATGTGAGGCCCAATTACCCTCTTCCTCGAAACCCCATCAATACTCAAATAATCTCCAAAAGATACTCAAATAATCTCCACATAATTGTAACACCTATTGTGTTTCGGGTGTCCATTGGTAACGCCTGTTGATTACCATCAGGTGATCCGTCTGCTTGTTTACCGGCTTATGACATAAGAAATAGAAAAATACAATAATTAACACTTACGGGCTATTAATGATAGATGACATGACTTGACTGCCTCGTTGGACGAGTGGTCGCAAAAGCGACTGCAGGGCAAGGGGTCTCGGGTTCGATTCCCGGGTCAGGCAAAGAAATTACAAGGTTTTCAAAAAATTCTTAGTATTAGCACGGAGTTTGCAATAAGCTCACCCCCTATTACATGGGACTCATAACATAATTAGTGAAAAGTGGGTGTTACTTCTGTGTGCACCTCTGCCTACCCCTTTGGGGATAATAGGCGTGATGTTATGTTATGTTTATGTAATGATAGATGATTTTAAAGGTCCATGTGTGTTTAATTATGAATATTTGGCCAGAGCTGTGCGACCTCAGTAAGACGTCGTGTTGGACGGACGTGACGGACAAGCGAGCGCGGACGTGCAACGCGTTGCAGGGCGCGGCGCGCGGCTGCAGGCTGCTACACGCTCGATGGGCTGTAGACTCCGCCTCCGCCTGCAGGTGGCTGCAGCATCACGACTATGAGGTACTGCATCTGAAGAAGATTAGTCAGGTACGTGCGTTCAAAAGCTTATTGTTTACTAGCTTTTACCCGCAGCTTCGCTCGCGTCACAAAAGGATAAAAAGTAGCCTATATGACATATACCAATACACACAGCGCCATCTATACCAATAATTTCGTTTTCCCTCGAGAATATCAAATTTTTCCTGGATAAAAAGTACCCTATTGTTTAATCCGGACTTCTAACTTTACGTCTGCAAAAATTCAAAGCAGTCGCTTTAGTAGTTACGGCGTGAAAGCGGAACAAACAAACAAACTCACTTTCCGATTTATAATATTAGTAAGGATTCTTTCTACACCTTGACATCTATTTCGTTTTCGTCTCGAAGTAAAATGGTGCTGTCTTGATAATACAATAGTTTTACAAAGAAATAAAATGTTTAAAACAAAAAATAGGTGTGTTTTATAATAACTATCGTGAGACATACTAAATTAACTAAAATCGCGCATTACTCACGTGAATATACTGAGTAAAGCTCTACTAGTTTCGAACCACAGAGGGGTTCTTCCTCATGAGCAGCGTGACGTCTGCAGCGGCGTCTGCGTCGGACACTACAAGCGTTTGCTTCCAACTCCGACGGCGCGTTGGATGATGCTAAAGCACACGGTACGTTCACCAGCGGCGCGGGTAGTGGGTTCGATTCTATGGTTCGAAACTAGTAGAGCTTTTCTCAGTATATTCACGTGAGTAACCTGCGATTTTAGTTAATAAAAAATAGGTGGTCAAAAAAGTAAACTTTGAAAGCACATACAAACTCGAAGAAGTATTTCACGTGACACGTGCGATGCCAATAGTACCTACTTTACGTCTAGTGTTTCATGGGCGCATTTATACGATTTTTTTTCAATTTAATTACATCTTTATTTACTTTACACACCGAAAATACTCCTTATGGCAAATTGTTTTTCCGCGGGACAAAAACAAAATAGATTTCACGGCCGATATAATAGTATAATAAGCTTATATAAAGCGGAAGAGTTTGTTTTTTTGTTTGTTTGTTTGAACGCTCTAATCTCCGTAACTACAAGTCTGATTTGAATAATTCTTTTTGTGTTAGATAGCGCATTTATCGAGGATGGCTATAGGCTATAAAACATCACGCTATGACCAATAGGAGCTGAGCAGAGCGTGTGGAACCGCGCGGAAGTAGCTAGTCCCTTAATAAAAAAAGAAAGAAAAACCATTTCTTATCCCAGTCTAACTTAAACCAACTTATTTCATTACAGAAAGCTCGAGTAGAACGCACAGCGCTCGGGAAACTACGTTCAGAATACGCATACGACGTCTTCTACGGTATGAAAGTACATTTAAAACCCGACGCTGAACAAAGAGAGGCTGCTTTGAAACTTCTCACGCTATGTGGCGCTGCAGTCGATAATAGTGCCACAGACAATAACCCTGAAAATCAAACGAAGGAAACTAGACTTAATAACTTACATACACAAGGCAGTGTTTTAAATATCCAGTCTCACAATACAAATATGGAGTCTCAGAATGCCAATATCGAGGCTCAAATTGCCAATATGCAATCTCAGAATGCCAATAACCGTGCTAAAGTAAGTAATAGTAATTATGATGTAGTTATTGGCAGTGGTGTTGGTGAAGTGAATTCTAAATGGGTGTTTGATAGCGTGGCGGCCGCTCGGATGAGAACTACTAGAAGGTACATCAATATGAATAGTTTTACTCAATGTATGGGCGGTCGTGACAGATAGATGCTGTGGATCATTAACAGCGTATAAACGCCCACTGCTGAGCAAAGCCTCTTCTTACACGGAGAAGGTTTGAGCATTAATCACCACGCTTGCTCATTGCGGGTTGGCGATTCCAAACTTATAATTAGAAATTATAGCCAAGGTTTCCTCACGATGTATTCCTTCACCGTTTATTAGTGGTGTATAATCTTAGAAAGTACATATAACTCGGAAAAAGTCACATTGGTTGCTGGTACTTGCCGTTGGTAGGTTTCGAACCGCACCTTCATGCATGAGAAGCGGGCGTCTTAAACCTCCGGGCCACCACGATAATTTATGCGGTGCTGTAGATATGTAGTTATATTATTATTATGTATGTAGTTATGAAATATGGTAATAGCCAACTAGTCAAATTCAATACTTTTTTCGAACTGTCAAAAATGACAGTTTTCTATGAATTTTGTACGAGATTGTGTATTGTGACGTCACATTTTTTTAGCGTCCAACAGTGACTTTTTTTTAAAAAATTGCTGGAATAATACTAAAATTAAGTTGGTCATAAAATCAAGCTGAAAGCGTGATTAGTTTTAAATATTTTATTGTATTGAACAGTCGAAATAATTTATTTTGATTAAGGAAGGTACCGTAGTAATGTTGGTTATGAAGTACATATTATTCTATGGCCTTTATTCGATGATGATATATTATATTGTCGTTATTTATAATCATTCAAACGCAATGAAGACGGCACTAGGTACCGATGTCTCATTTTGTCAAGTAAATTCTTATACAGTAAAATGTGAAACCCAAATAAATATGTTTTTGTTAGAAATGTCGTTTAATCGGGCCTATCTATGCCCATAGATGGCACTATCTATTCCCATAGATAGTGTCACGCATTTTTATTGACAAATGCTGTGATTGTACTAATACCACATGGTAGCCCACATGGTCAATGTAGCAAGCTCACAAGTAGCGCCCCAGCCGTCGCGAAAGACACTCGTATCGCAGGACGATCTCCGGCCACCGTAAGCGCGGGCCTGCGGACGGCGAGCATGGGTGGCTCCCCGTCCGACCAGAAACAGACCCGAGCGTGTAGCGCGCGCCTCAAAGAGCCATCAGACCACCACAGATGGGGCCCAATAGGGCTGATGTCGATACGGAGCCGCGGAGGACTTAACGGGTTACCGGGGCTCCGGCTCGAACTGCAGGAGAAGGAACGGGGTGGTTTAAAGTCAATAAGAGTCTGACACTCACATAACTCACATTTCCATCCCTTATAGGAAAAAAAATCCTTTTTTGGGAATGACGAGTGTGGTTTTTGTAAGTGTAGCATTGTATAATTATTATTGTAACTACAAAACAAAACGAAATGTGCCTTCTGTTAATTTAAAATAAGGTATATAGTCCAAATACCTATGTAGTGTATCTATTTGGACTAAATATCCGAGACTATTCAATAATTTATGAACCTTATTTAGATATACATAGTCAATATTATGATGATGATAATTATTTTTATTATTTAAAACTTGCCCGGAACTATTAAACATTAAAATCGTTTATTAAACACAAAAGCTTCCAAAAGATGTAACATGAAATGAACTATGAATCTCACACTGTTACAAGGAAAACAAAATTTGATCTCACAATCAGAGTCAGATCTCAATCTATTTGAATTTGGCTTGGAGGACTTTCTATAACTCATATATGCAGCAATAAATTTATGGTTTGGAAATTATTTTTCTCTATACACTACATAATGTCATGTAGATAATTAAGTGTGGGAGAGCCATGCTTCGGCACCAATGGGCCGGCTCGACCAGAGTGATACCACGGCCGAGCAGAAAACCGACGTGAAACAATGCTTGCGTTGTGTTTCGTCGTATGAGTGAAGTTACCGGAGGCCCAATCACCCCCTCCCTAGTCTCCCGGATCCCCGAATCCTCCACAATCCTCAAATACCCAATTCCCAAAAGGCCGGTAACACACTTGTAACGCCTTGGTGTTTCGGGTGTCCATGGGCGGCGTCGATTGCTTGCCATCAGGTGATCCGTCTGCTCGTTTACCGGCTTATGCTATAAATAAAAGATACTATAACTATCCTACTCATGTATTTTTAATGTTTACCAAATTATATTGTGTACAAAATGTGTTTAGTTCGCTTTGTATTAGTGTAAATAAGGCTTGAGAGTTAACTATTTATTGTTGAGTTTCTATTATGTATTTACTTTAAAATAAATCATGTTTTGCTAAAGTTGTTGATTTTTATTTTGTGTCGACGTGTACATAATTAGCGTAGTTTAGATCTAAATCAGGAATATCAAAGTCAAAGTCAAAATCATTGACTTCAAATACCAGTAAGGCACTTTTGCTCGTCAAGAAAAAAATTAAATGTGAAGCTATTTGCTTAGTCCTATGGGGAAGAACGAGCAAGAAACTCCTTTGGTTACTTATTTTTCAATCAGATTTCTTTCTAAAACCTAAAGGACTAAGGTCGGGCAAATATTATCATTGAGATGTATCTAAATATCTGGGAATAAAAAGTATTAAGTTGTATTAATATTATAATTTTTGTACGGGTGTTAAAACAGATAAATAAGATTGTAGGGTCTGTTTGTAATATTAAAATAACCGTATGTATGAATATATACATACGATACACATACCAAAATATATTTTTTAAATTTTCGTCTGTCTGTCTGTTTGTATTGGCTAATCCCTGGAATGGCTGAACCGATTTTGCAAGTCTTATTGGTAGCTAGCTGATGTACTAAGGAGCCAAAATAGGCTAAATTTATTTTGGAAAAATTTAAAAAGCGCGGTCGAAGTCGCGGGCAACAGCTATTACCTTCCTACAGCAGTATAGCCAGTTTACAAGTCAAATGTATTTAGTTACGAAATTTAGCCATAGATGTCGCTGTTCCCATAAGAGAACTAAATGCTGAAGTGTGTTTTCCAAGATATTTGTACTGGTAAGTTATTTAGACTGCCTCGTTGGCCGAGTGGTCGCAATTGCGACTGCCGGGTAAGGGGTCTCGGGTTCGATTCCCGGGTCGGGCAAAGTATTACTGGGTTTTTAAAAAATTCTCAGTAGTAGCACGGAGTCTGGAACTGTGCCCGGTATATGGCAATAGGCTCACCCCCTATTACATGGGACTCATAACATAAATAGTAAAAAGTGGGTGTTACATTGTACAGTGGTATAATGTGCACCTCTGCTAACCCCTTCGAGGATAAAAGGCGTAAGTTATTTTAATTTGTGTTTTTTAATCTTGCCTATTTCTTTACTGCCCTGTCGGCCGAGTGGTCGCAAGTGCCACTGGGCAAGTGGCAAGGGGTCTCGGGTTCGATTCCCAGGTCGGTCAATAACTAGGTTTTAAAACAAAAAATCTCAGTAGTGGTATATGGCAATAGGCTCACCTCCTATTACGTGGGACTAATAACATAAATAGTGAAAAGTGGGTGTTATATTGTAGGTACAATGGCATAATGTGCACCTCTGCCTACCCCTTCGGGGATAAAAGGCGTGATGTTGTGATGTGATTGTGATATAAAACATTACGAAGTGGTCGGTAGGAGCCGAGCAGAGTAGGTGAATCTGCGTCGGAGTAGCTAGCCGTAGACAGCACGGTCGGTGCGGTGGCTGGGCAACGTGTCGTGGGTTAGATTCCCGCACGGAGCAACTCTTTGTGTTATCCACTAATTGCTCCGAGTCTGGGTGTCATGTGTATGGGAACTTATATATTTGTAAACGCACACACGACAGGAGGAAATCCTAGTGTGTGGCAACATTGTTTTTTAAAGAAATAAAAGTTTCATAAGTACCTAATGTCATCATCCTCAGTAACTCTTTACCAAGTTGTTCAATTCTTCCATTTAAACAATAAGTAATCCAATGCACCACTCATCCAATTACAAATAAATGAATGAATGAAAATCAAAGCATTCGAGTTACCAACTCATGAAAGTCGAGTGTTACCAGGAATAAATGTTAACAATGCGATCACGAACTCTGGCAACACCTCGCTCGTTCATGATTCGAAGTTTAAATCGCACGTGTTGCGCAGGAGTTGCTGTGTAAGTTGTCTAGATATTGGATTACACTGGTGACCAGTAAATGTAATGGTAATATCAACTTTGTCTTGATTCCTAGTCACGGATTGAGCAAGAAAGAGAAGTGTTGTATTTCCACAAGAATTCTTTTATGGATCCAGTAGATCCCCTAATGGTAAGCAATTGGCGTCGTCCATGAACACCCCGAACACCAGAGGTGTTACAGGTGTTAGTATTTGAGAATTATTGGGGATTCGGAGATTGGGGAGGGGGGTAATTGGGTAACCTCACTCACACGACGAATCACAACGCAAGTGTTGTTTCATGTCGGTTTTCTGCTCGGCCGTGGTATCACTCCGGTCGGGCCGGCCTATTCGTGCCGAAGCATGGTTCATGTATCTTTTATTGGCTTCTGTTTGTTTTATTTATGCCGATAAATACCCTAAATTTTATTTTTTATTTCTATCTTTATGTAGCTGATCAAATTATTTTATAATAACTAGGTACTGTAAGATCTACACTTGACCTTTATTCGCAATAAACGATTTGAATTAAAAAAAAAATTCTTTCGAAAATATTCAGAAATCCAATTAGCGATTTCTTTGCTAAACATAAGGCTCTCCCACTGACGTCCTAATGAGCCGATTGGAAGCGGCCAGCAATCTTAAGAGCATCAGTCCTCCTTGTGGATGAATGTCCTGCAATCACACTATCATAACTAGTGAAGAGTTAATTTTGGGTACTCCGAATAAAACTCGTCGCCTGGTCCTCCGCTTGAATGCACCGATATGAGACACAATAGAAAATACATTGTGTCTCGCGTGGATCCACGTTTAGACACACGACGGGTTTAACAGTAATTCGTGATATTACGTTGTGGTTTTTTTTAAGGGGGGAAAATCATCGAATGGCTGCTCCCGCCTGGGTGAGGCGGGAGGGAGTGTCAGACTCTTACTGACTAAAAA